CGGCGTGTTATTGTGTCTTAAGTAAGGAATATTTTGCAACAAGTTGAAATTCATTGTAAAAAAAAGTGTGATGTGACCAATTCTGTGTTTTAAATAGGAGGAGAGAAAAGAAGTTTATAGTCAGAATCGTATGGTCTTTCCCAATCATTTATGAGTTTTAAATACCAATTAAACAAAATTTGGATTATATTATAGTACAGGGGTGGCCAAAGTGTGGCTCGCGAGCCTGATATGGATCTCGCAGGCAATTTGTGCGGCTCGTACATATAAAATACACTGGTTATCATAAATTAAGGAAAAATCACAAAAATAGCGATAACTCCCTCAAAAATAAGCCGAACCGTGTAAAATTTGAATATGTTGCCAAGTAAGAGTAGTTGAGTAAAACTGCGATATGCAAATTAGTGGCGCTGCTTTCGGAATACGTTTGAGAGCAAGCCCACATATTGCACTGTGACAGTGACATCAGAAATCTGAGATAGCCAGTTCGTAACAATGACCTCCAGGTATCATTTGCCTGCAAACTGCGTTGGAGAGCCATTGGGAGACTAGAGGCAGGACAAAGTCAAACAGAAATGGCCAGATGGCTAAATGTGAGTCCTTATGTGGTTCATAGACTTTGGAGGCAATTTCAAACCACAAATTCGGCATCTAGAAGGTTCAGCCAAGGACGGCCAACTGCTACGACGAGCGCTGATGACCGATGTTTGACATTATGTGCACGCGAACCACTACTCCGACTCTTCTTAGATCCTCCCTTGCTGCAGCCACCGGAAGGTTCGTGTCAACGTCAACTGTGCGTAGAAGGCTTCACGAAGGTGGTCTGTATGGCGAGGCGACCAGCCATTTGTGTGCCGCTCACGTCACGCCATAGGAGGGACCGTTTTCAGTGGGCACAACAACATGTCCACTGGACGCCTGATCAATGGAGGGCGTTCTCTTTACGGGTGAGTCCAGATTTAGTCTAGAAACCGGTAGTAGGCGTTATTTGATATGGAGAGAACCTAGAACCCGTTATCATCCGTCAAACATCCGTGAAAGAGATGCATACGGAAGGGGCAGTGTCTGTGTTTGGGGTTGCATCTCTTTGGGTGGACGCACAGACCTCCATGTCTTTCCAAGGGAAACCGTGAATGCTCAGATTTATTGAGATGACATCCTTGATGTGACTGAATCTTGAATCTGCAGAAATAGGAGAAAAATCCAGTTACAGTATCTGCTAATACAGAATATATATTAGATGTCGATTTAATTAATAAGTATAAATAAAAGCATTTTTGGCATATTTCAACAAAATAGATATTTGTAGCGTACTTTACATGAGATGAGATCACTTGGGGTCATGTGATATGAACCGTCGTATCAGGATGATGAACCATGGAAGCATAGTAAATTTTAAATTAATGTCTTTTTACAAATTTATTGTCTTTATGTACTGGCTTTTTACAAAATTTTAAATGATATTAAAATGTTTATGCCTTCAAAATAAAAAATTATTAGAACTAACATTTGTTAACATTTTTTATGTGTATACTGTATGTTGTCGCCAATAAAGTCTGCTTGGTGAGATTTGGGCAGGCGAAACGGAAAAGTACCTTTATATATATATATATATATATATATATATATATATATTATATATATATATTCTTTACGTTATTTCTTTGATAATAATACGTGGCAAAAACATTTGATGGCTACAGTTTGAAAAGTGACGCGGAGAAAAAAGAGGTTTGAGACTAACAGCAATTCCGATGCTAAAAAATGTTCTAAATGAGAAAAAATAACAAGTCACAAACTCTATGCAGAATCCTTTGAAGTTAGTCAACCTTGATATCATTTTAAATGTACTTTTTCTTTTAATTTTTTGCCTCCATTTTGCTTGAAAATGGCAATTATTTGCTGGCTAGGTGGGGCTTCTGAACGCGTCGCGTGCCTGTGAGTATTCCGTGTTGTCCTTTGCCGGCATGATGCTTTTTGTCCATAACCCGTGCAGGAAAAAGAAAAGAAAATGCCGGAAGTTCAAACAGCGTTACCGACGCAAAACTTGAAAGTAGCAGCTGACGATTTTCAGTTAAGTTGTTCATTCGATTCATTCTAAGTTGATAACCAGGCTATTCTAGACCCTAAGTTGAAAAGAACGTAAGTAACTATTTCCATTTTCTTTTTTTACTGTCCGCTTAAAATAGTTATCATAAACGAGAAAAATTTTTTAATGATTTTGATGAGTAGCTAGTGTTATTTCATAAAAATATTTAATACTTCTAACTAGACATCTCTTCACTGAAATCCATCAGATTCAAAGGTAACAAAATTTCTTATAAAACGGCATTTTTCGCTATGAAATCGCTTGGCTTGTTACTCAATAACAAACAGATTAACTCTGAAAGTTCATATTATACACTTTACTGAGAGGCAATGCGCTATCGCGTGGAAGATAAATAACTTGGCAGTGGCAATGCTTTCGCTCTTAGTTAGCCAAATTGGTTGATTATAAGAATAATCCCAAAATTCGATCTTTTTAAAAGTTTATTTAAACCATAAAAGTAATTAAAAGGTTAAACTTATGCTGTTAATTATAAAGTTATAATTCCTGAAATGAATGCTTTTACTTATTGTGTATATATATATATATATATACCCCTTATAAGAAATATGGTTTTATAATTTTAATTCAACTTAACTACTATTAAAATGTATTTATTTTTATATATACATTTTGGAGATCACAACGATGTTAAAGTTTTTCATTACGCCACAGTCACATTCAGTGAGAGGCTCACATTTGTTTTCGAGCACTTTCTTTTTTAGATTTATTTGCATAAATCTTGTAACTAGGTAATGAACATTTTCTTCCAATATTTTTATTTTTTTAAGCATTTTAAGCCGTCAGGAAGATAATTTGTTCAGAATAATTCGGACACTCATAACATACTGCAAATGAGTTAGAAGTAGTATTTAAGGAAAGTTCAACTTAATTTGTGTGAGAGAGAGCTAGGAATTCTGAGTAGTCCGTGTTTGCCCTCGGACTAAATCTCTCTTGAAGTGGTTACGCTCAGCTGTATATTACGTGCCTAATTCTTAAGATGATATAAATTTCGTGCATTCTGAGTTAAAAAATGAATAAAATGTAACGCTGTTAAGGGCGTTAACCTAGGGCCAGAGTGTCGCTATGGTAAAAAAAAATATAGTGCATTTTAAAGAGTGCATATATTCTATCTATTGTGGTTTATGCGCTATCGACGAAGTAAATTAAATTTAATCCAATAAGTTTAAATGAAATGCAAGAAAAAATGCGTATAATTTAATATTCCGTACAAGGAAGTCATGTGCTGTACACATCACATTTTTTGTATTATTGTCCTTACCGAAATATCTACTGAATTGCAGATGTTACATCCCTTCCTTTTAATAGGCTTGCCTTCAGAAACGTAGAAACTACTTTCACAGAAGTCAAAATGTGACTAGTGCAGAATCACTAATAGCTTTCACCATTAACGACCTGAAAGCTTTCGGGTCGCAGGGAGTGACAAGAACGATATGGAACTTGTATTCGAATTTTCTTTAAAATGAAATAATGCGTCTTCGTTTTCGGGAGTTCCATCTGGAACGAAAATTAAGATTAAAGGGTAGAAATGCAAGACGCTTAAGGAGCCCCATATTTCTTATATATAGTGCGTCTGTAAAGTCATGGTGCACTTTTGTTCGGTCACAGGAAAGTAACAAAACAAAAGGAAAATTATCCAAGTTTCCGTAGTATTATGTGTAAGCATGTGCTCACACAGGTGATGACGCAGCACCGCGAAATGCGAAGGAGCAGATCAGTCCATCCACGCCTACATTAGTCGCGATGTGGACCGTACAGAGGAAAGTTCAGTGTGTTTTGTGGCTTGTCAAATTCGAATCCGTGACCAAAGTGCAATGTGTGAATATCGTCGCGTGTACAACGAACCGCCACCACATAGAAATAACATTAATCGGTGGCATAAGCAGTTGAAAGTTACCAGCAGTTTAATTGGATAAACCCCATTTTCAGGGCCATCGGTCAGTGACGATTCTGTAGAGGCTATCCGGAAGAGTTACCTAAGAAGCTTCAACAAATTGCAGCTGTTGCGCACTATCAAACCGACGGATAGACCCAAACGATTTGCATTTGCTACAGATATGCTTCATGAGGTCGACAATGATAACCGATTTGTGCAGAAGATTGTGTTTAGGGATGAGGCCACATTCCATGTTAGTGGACATGTTCATCGCTATAACATCCGAATATGGGCTGCTGAAAATCCTCATGCTCACGTAGTATATTTGAGTTCGTTATTATATATTTTAATACTATATTTTAATTTTTGGGGGTCCGCAAGAAAGTCGGGGCCCTAAGCTATAGCTTGTGTGGCTTATACATAAATCCGTCCCTGGTTATATATATATATATATATATATATATATATGTTTTGATAGAAGCAAAAACAACCAGGCTATTTTTGTTGTCTTTCTAAATTTAAACATTGTAAATCTAATTCAGTCCTGTAAGGCCTAACATCTAATGCTTTGGCCCGCTATGCGACTGCATTGCTTGCATACCCCTATGTACGCTTATTTGGGTGATTTCTAATCTTTACTGATAAATCATACAAAACTTTAAAAGAGACCTTTCAGGCGACTACTAAAATCTGAACACTTTGGGAGGGAGGGGAGAACATACACCCTTTTTTCCTTTCTTTCATTCTTTCTCTTCCCCCCTTTTTTGTGAAAATGTAATATTTTTTGTTAACTGTAAAGTAATACTAATATGCATTGTACTTTTAAACATCCAAATAAAGACTTCGCGAATTTGGCACTCAAATTAGTGGGATTCCCATTATGTGACACGAGTTTCATGGGGTGCATTTTTAAATAAAAACCATGCTCTTCTTTCTGTCTGAAATAAATGCCTTGATTTTGAATTTAATTTACTTCTCTACTGTATCTATATTATCTAAACGAGCTTCATTTTTTAGGCAGAAGAACAGATTAAAAAAGTGAAAGAAATAAAGAAACCGGATGTTTTGAAAGAAGAGGAGGAAGAGTGGCAATCTGTAAGTTTTTATTCATTTTATTTTAATTAAAATTCTAAAAGTGGCCAGCACATGACTTTCAGCCAATTTCATGATTTAAATATCAACGAGCTTTAAATAAAGTATAACTTCTAGTTGATCCTTCAGATAAACAAAGTCTAATTGGTTGTTCTAACAAGGGAAAAAAAAAAAAAAAAGTCTTCAATACGAAATTTTGGATTTTGTTTTATTAGATATCATTGGTCATGTGTAAAACTTAATTTTTCTGAATTTATATCAACATAATCAAATGTTTGTGCCTTTTATTTCTTTTTATTAAAGATTGTATTTTATTGGTTTTCAATTAAAGAAAATGAAGTGTTTATAATATATTTCAAATAACTACTTTGAAACAGATACCATAATTTTTAATTTTTCTTTTTTGTTATTAACAATTATACTTTGTTTATCTGAAGGAATTTAACAATTAGACTTTGTTTATCTGAAGAATCAACTAGAAGTTATACTTTATTTAAAGCTCATTGATATTATCCACTACTCTAACCCAGCTTAATCATAAAAAAATTATCTCAGCCACGAAAATTACAAAGAGAAGAAGAAAATATGTGCAGCGCTAGCAGCCGATGTCATATCGTTTTAATCCACGGCAGTATATAATTTGTTTCTAAATCATCTATTAAAAATAAATTGCACAAGCATTAGAAATTTAAATGTGCAACCGTTAATCCTCTGTTTCTCTTCAACTCTATGGAATCACAACAGTAATATAAACAAAAACGATATTTCTTTTGTTTTAAAGATTGTTCTTGTTTTTATTGTTGATTTAAGTTACGTATTCACCGAAATTTAGTTTAATTGTGTATGTCCTTCTTGGTATTATACCGATTAATCGGTAGTCCACTATATTTGTTTTAAAGACCCGTTTTTATACATAATGAATGTACTTGTATGTATTTTGACTTAATTATGAATGTCGTTCTCGGTATTACCCCGATTAATCGGTAGTCATATATATTTGCTTTAATGACTTACCTGTGTTTATATAGTATAAACATACCTGACGCTCAAAAAATACTTTAAAATTTAGATAGTAGATGGCAGCACTATAAGTAATCTCTTTGGCTGTTCCTGGCATCATGGCAAATTGTAACGAAGCCTGGAAAATTGGAAAAATTATATTTTCCCTCCCTTTATAACCTCCCTCTGCTCTCTATCCCTTCCGCTGAGCGTCGGTATCGTGTAGCACATACAGACAAAAACCAGTTGAAAAACTCTCTGAAGCGAATAATTTTCCCAAATTTCACCTGTTCCACAGCTTTTTTTCCCGTCGAATATTCACCCGCCGTTGAGAAGAATCTTCTACCGACAGTGTGTGATTTTTTGAAAGAATATGTGACGCGTCATTTTCTGTGTTTGTGAAGCTTTTATGAATTACACCAACTTTGCCAGTGTTGTCCATTCGTCTTACACTGTGGGATTATAAATTTCAAATCCGAAACTTCTGATAAAAGTTCCGAATATTTATTTGACAAAGAATGCTTCAAGGGACAAAAGATATGGAATGGAAAAAGGTAAATGGTGCCATATAGAACGTACTTTCTAGCTTTGTTCTTATGTAAACAAAGGCGCGTGCATTTTTGTAACCGTGCACGGTAATAGCTGATGGTAAACCGCGTTACACGTTTTAAAATAATTGTAATGTATTAACTAAATTTGTAAATTATTGCTGTGTACAGATGATCTGTAATTTTTATGGCCATTGTTTTCGAAAGTCACCAAAATAACTTTTTGCTGAAATTGGTATCATGTGTAATTGCTAAAAATTTTCCTTAAAATAATCGCAGGAAACGATTTGGGCTTTAAAAGCTTTCATTTAGCTTAGTATTATTTTATCGGCAGTCGTAAAATAAGTGTAAAATGATGTTTTTAAATTATAGTATTTGATGGTGTGGTATAGAAATCGGAATTTTTTTTGTGATTGCTTTCATTATTTAAGATGAAAGTAAGGCTTAAAAATAGTCACACGTAGATATAGTATATTGATATTTGTTTTTAAATAAATATTTTGAAAATATATTTCTGGATAATAAAATTAATTATAATAAGAATACTTCTTTTTAAATTGGGAAGAATTCTGATTATTTTTCTTTTTCCGAGTTACTTAACATTTGCCGTGCATGAAAGATATTGTCCATTGAAACCGAAATTTGTAAAAGAGGATGTTTCTTTAATTACGTTTATTCACATTAGATTTTAGTTCTTTAACTTTTATTAATTACGTTTACGCACTGAAGGCTATACTAATTGCATTATTTTTTAAATCTTTCTGAGCTGTGAATCCGTGCATAGCGGTCACTCCACCAAAAAGTTCATAAACTGATTCGCACGACGCGCTGGAATGTGAGCGTTTGTTGTTCTTTCATACAGTAGCAAAACAACACCCAAATTTTAATTAGAATTATTATCTGTTGGAAAAATAATGCAAACATATCTTCTGTGTGTAAGATAAACGTGAATGAAAGGGATTTCGAATTGTCAATTATCATGAGACTCCGCTTTTTAGAAGGAATAAATACTCTGGGAACTTGCAGTACTTGAATAAATTTGTTCTCTGTCGTACTTTAAAATAGTTTTCTGATGTTTTTTTATTTGTTGAGGAAAGAGTTTTGTCAGAAATGAAATAAATTTTCCTGAGTTCTTGCTCCCACAGAATGGGAGAAAAGTTGGTATAAATGGTTTTAAAATCAAAAGCATTAAAATTATATTTCTAACAAAAGGGAATTTTTAAAATACAGCTGAACGTACTATTAATGATATAAAAAAAATTGTTGAGCTGAAAGAAAAGATTTAGCATTTAAAATGCAAAAATGTGTACAAAAAATTGCACAAAATTTGACATAAATCTAGAAGTTAAATTTTAAGTTAGAAGAAAAAGAGTAAAAATTTCCTATTTCAAAATGACTCGTTTTGTAGAACATTGTTTTGTCACAGCTTTATAAAATATTTTTAGAATTTTAGACACATTTTATGAGAGAAAATGTTCATTTATAGAGCTCCCCAATGGGATTATTATAGACCCCCTGTGGGTTGATGGAATTTTAAATGGTGTCTTTGATCAAAGGTTTGATTGGGTCAGTATCAAGGGGTTGATATGGCAGTTCATTGACATAATCAAAATCTCATTGCTTACAAATATATATATATTAATAAAATTTATAATTAATTTTTTATTGATCAAACATCTATTCGAGAGGAATAGCCTAAAATTAAAGTTGTTACCGAACCAACATTAATGACTCTCTTAGTGGAAGCAGGCTTTAATTAACTCAAAACTTACAATAAAGTAATTTTGTAGTGTTTTAAATGAAAACACTAAAAATTACCTTTTCGATAACTATAAAATTACACTGAATATGAATAGTATAATACTATTAATATAAAAGTGTAACATTCAAGCCCTTTTTTTTGTAATTTAATTTTTCTTGCTTGAAATGAAATGGAAAATATCTTTTTCAAACTCTACTTGATTATTTAATTTATTTCTGTACAGGTGATATATGAAATTTTTGGGGGGCAAGAGAAGATTTCACATATTTTTTTATTAAAACTACTTTGGTGCAATTTGGTGATTTTTTTTTTTTTTTTTTGAAAAAAAAAAAAAAGAAGGGTTATTTCAATTTGGAAAAGATTATTTATTTCATATCATACATTAGTATAACATGTATGATATGTACATGTTATTAGTATATTTATATCATACATGTTGCATATATTTTATTTTTTGTTCGATATTTATCCCAGAAAACAATTTATAAAACTACAAACTACTTATAAATAGGTTTTTGTTTCTTTTCTTCTAGTGGAAATTTTGTAGTGATCATTTTAAAAATAGATTTAAAGCAATGGGAAACTGCCTATTAATACTCGTTAATTCTTTGCTCCAGAAATAAATAAATTTGGGTACTATTCGGTTTCCAGGGCCGTAAAAAATCGCCAAACTATTGTTGATGCCAATGCTGCCAAAAATAATTGCGGCAAGAAAGGAAGGATAATAGTAAATAACTATCTAAGATTGATGTTTTAATTTAGATGAAAGGTTAATTTCATGTAATACTTTATTATTATTATAATTTATATGAAAACGGCTCAACATGACTGAATGGAAGCAAAAAAGTAAATAACTATTTCAGAACCATATTATAATTAACATAAAAATTGCTAAACATAACTGAATGGATTCCTGTATCGCTATTTCACTACCGACTTATCGCTAAAGCATAATTTCATCTCGGTTGTTCAAACATAATTTTCTATAAAGAATGATGCTTTTTCTTTGAAAATATTCTTGGTAAAGTGCAGAATCGCTCACTTATTTGTTTACCTCTTTTTACAAGAGTAAAAACAATTGGATTTTTGTCAATTTTCTTTTACTTTTCAAGTGAAAATAGGTCGATGTGCACATGGATACCAAGCATGTGCAATTCTTAAAAACGCGTCAAGCAGTGGGTGACTCTGCACTTTACCCAAAATTCTATTGCCGACTTTTCGTCATGGGCAATTCCCAAATTGTTAAATCCGTAGGATATCAAAAAACGGATTTAAAAATTAAACTAGTATTTCAATGCTGTCTTAAGAAATATAGAACTGTATAACTTACGCAATCTGAAATCAACGCGTACGCTAGATTTGGCACGCTGTTAAATGGGCGCGTTTGCTAGATTTGGCTCTTTTGCGCATACATTTTTGCTGCAATTTTCTTATGGCCATCAAAACAGAATATTACCTAAATTTGAATGCTATAGTAAATAGCAGACAACTATTCTCAATCTTATTACCACTTTGAATGCCAACACGTTCATTACACTTTTTCACATTGCATTTCCAAAAAGGTTATTATTTTTAAATCAAATGCGATTCTGAACATATCCACCTTTGTTGCAAAATATTATATTATTCCAGCAAAAATTTCACAGAACATTTTTGGGCAAATTTCATACTTCAAAATTCAGCTGAAGACAAAA